TGTTGATCATCTAGACTTAAGAAAGTGATGGAGAAAATGTTAATGCAGACTAAATTTAAAAGTGCATCATATCTATAGCTGTTCACCATGAATGGCAAAAAAAAAAAAAAAATGAAGGAAGAAATATTCTTCCAGTATTTGAAAACTATCATCAGATTGAGCAAAGAATTGATTTATGTCACTGATGAACAAGTGAAGTTCCAACACGTGTCTTTGTTGTTTCACTTTAGTCTTCAATGTAAAAAAAAATAACAGTGACCATTCATGTCAGAACTATACCTATTGCTCAATACTATGAGCAACTTCTTTGCCAAATGAGATAGTAATGAAGCATTATTCCTAGCCTGACTTTGTCAAATCATGGTTAAATGATAACCTTAGGTTGGCTATAGATACAAGACTTTGGCAAAACTCAGTGAAAATATTCTAAGAGAACCAATTGGCCATGAATTTATAATAAAAAGTATTGCATACTTTATTATCATTTATAAATTATGTGCTACCATTCTTTATCTTAATATAATTTATGGCAAACTTACGTAAATACATATGCATATCCTCCCTCACCGCTGCTCCCCCCAGCTCCATTTACCTGCTGGGAAACATCTGCCAGCCCTGGACTTAGAGAATGTCGTTAGGTAGAATGTCCACAAGTTTTATAGTTCACACCGGGACTTGAATTTCAGCACTGCTTCTTTCTATGTTATATTAAGTAAACTTCTGAGCTTCTCTAAGCCTTTTCCTTCTTCTGCAAAATTTAAAAAAAAGTAAAAAATAAAATAAAGAAGGACTTGTTACATGAAGGAGTTGTTGTTGTAAGAATAAGCTACACGAAGGCTCTGGTACAATCTAGGTGTTGAGTGACTGTTACTCTTTTCCTCCCACCTTTTCCCTCTGCTTCCAGCTGCCAAATCCTGTAAGTTTTACTTCTTTTGCTGGAGATAGAATGATCTACACGTGTCTGGATTACATGGCAGGTCCACATGGCTGTAGAGGAATGGATGGGTGAGTGGATGTCTTCCTTTGATTCCATGATAAGCCAGTCTAAGTAGTAATTTAAGAATTCACTGAGGCTTGAAATCTTTTATCACGTTTTAAAAATCTATGTACAACAATTAGAAACTCCTCACACTGTGGAATCGGTGTCCATGGAACATAGCCTATACTGCCCTATTTCAGCTTTATTTGTTATTTTGTTTAGAGTTATTATAGGACCAAACTTGAAAGAAAGATTATGCAGCAGTCCGCAACCTTTTCGGCACCAGGGACGGGTTTCATGCAAGCCAATTTTTCCACGGACGGGGTGGGGAGGGCGGCGGAGCTCTGCGGCGGGTCCCTAGCAGGCCGCGGGCCGGTGTCAGCGAGCGCAGGGGACCTGGGGACCGCAGTATTGGGGAACTTCCTCCCCCTGCTGGCCATAATACGACATAGCAGTACCGTATGGGACGGAACGGAATTACCGAATGTCAAAAGTGGATGGAAACTCAGGGTAACTACTCCAGCAAACCAGCTACTCACAGACCTCTGGACTCCAAACAACTTGTGTTCAGTGTACACCATCTTTAAAATAAATTTTTTTAAAAAGCCTTTGAATTAGTTGCCAACATCTCACTGACATCCCTATTTCTGTTTTCTCAAAACTAGACGTTGCTACACGTTGGTCTGCCATCCTACCTGCGTTTCCCCAACTCCATTGGATGGGGCCTTTCTACTCTGCACTGGCCGCGGTGCCCACTCTGTCTGCCTCATCTACTTGTGTCGCCTGCCCAGCCCTTGCTGCTTTTGATGTGCAACCCCAAGCTTTCTCAGTTTACCAAAGAGTGAAACGAAATCCAAACTTGTTCAAAATCATACTGCCTAATTAGTAGCAAAGCACATGATAAAATTTGGGCCTCCTAAATTCCATTCGACAGGTATTTATTGATTTCATGTATTTATTTAACAAATGTTTTAGTGCCTATTATGGCCAGGCACATAGCAAGTGTCAAAGATTCTCTCAGAGAGTCTACAAGATAAAAATGGTCTTTCAATTCAGAGTTTATAGTTAGTGGGGAGAGCAGAGGGGTAGTTAATAAATACAAGAATTATGATGAAGGTGATGAAAGGAGGGAAAAGGGAACTATGCTTGGGTACAGTTCCTGCTCCCACCTCAGCACCTGGTTCATCATCATTGCGAGTACAAATATTACTAAGATTTGCTAAATAATGCCCTCAAATCATGGAGCCCACATTTATTCAACGTTCACTGAGCACAAGTGCTGAATGTTGGGGAAGCAGCAATAAATGTTGCATTCATTAGATTGTTTCCTCCAAGCACGTCCTCTAAAATAGTCACTCATCCTTCTTCCTGTTCATCCCTCCTGCCTTTGGAATTACCATCTGCAATCAATGTGCTAGGCTAAGAGGGAGCCAGAAGTCAGTCATATTCACGGCAGTGTGCAGTGGTTGCTGGGCAAGTGACACCTCTGCAGACACAGGAATCAGGTGTGAGCTTGAGTAACCGGGATATGGGGAAAATGCCAAACTGAGAGAAGAGTAGAAACTAATTGTGGTCACCAACACTTATGACACCATAATTGGAAAGTAGTACAAGAAAACAGAATTACTTCTGTATCTGACTCATAAAGATTACTCCAACTGAGTCCTTTGAAACCTGGGCTCTTTGGAGAAATGGCTGATTCCAGATCTGAGACAGGGAAGGTACAAGGTGAGCCTAAGACACCTTTTTGGGCCAGAAAGCAAGGAAACATCCAGAGACTAATGTGGTGATGTCAAAAGAATTCAGGAGTCTTGGAGATAATTGGTGATTTTAACTTACTGAATAAAGCAAAATGCATGAATCCATAGTGATGAGAGAGAGAGAACATGCACACGTGCCCAAGAATGCGCACACACAGGGAGAAAGGCTGAAAGCTTGTTTTTATAGAATGCTGCCAGGTCATGAATGCAGAAAGAATGATAAAATTGAAAATCATATTTTGCATCCCCCCAGTGTAATAACTGATTCAGACAGCAATCATTAATGGATGATAAAAACAGCAAGTAGTCCATCTGGGCATGGTGGCTCATGCCTTTAATCCCAGGACTTTTGGAGACCCAGGCAGGGGAATAGCTTGAGCACAGGAATTCGGGGTTAAAGTGAGCAATGATGGGGCCACTGCACTCCAGCCTGGGCGTCAGAGCAAGATCTTGTCTCAAAAAGAAAAAAACAAAAACACACCAAGTAAAATGTTGTTGATACTGTCAAAGTAGCACCTCACAGGTGACAATGTCAAGATTTGCTAGTCACCTCTTCAACCAAGTGTCATCACTGACAGTGGACGACCTGCCGTTATGTGCCTCCTGACGTGCTGCAATGAGAACACAACTATAATTATCCTTACATACGAACAAACACTGAATCTAAACAAGGCATTAGGCCCAGTTTTACTTTAAGAAAATACAGAGATGAGCCAATTAGCATAAAGAAACAATCAGACAAATCCAGAATGTACAATATTCTAGCCTGAACTTTTCAAAAATGGCATTAAGAACAAAAATATGAGGGGACTGTTCTGGATTTTAAGTAGTCAGAGACATGTCATAACCAAATGCAATGTGTAAATTCTGAATGGCTCCTGGCGTGAGGAGAAAATAGCTACCAAAGACATTCTGGAAACAATGGGAAAATTTGACTATGGACTGAAAATTAGGTAACTATTATAGAGTTGTTAATTTTGCTATATGTTATAAGATTGCATGGTTAGTTGAGAATGTTGTCATTCTTAACAGATGCATGCTTAAGTATTTTGGGGCAAAGTATGATTACCCACAAATGGCTCAATTTAAAAATTTTAAATATATTTAAATATATACAATTAAAAATTTTTAAAGATGTAAAGTTAATGAGGCAAATGTGAACTGGTGACTCTAGGTGAAGGTTATATCTGTATTCATTACACTATATTTTTTCTTGTATTTCTTAATAAAAAATTAAGTTAAAAATATAAAGATTCTACGAAAGAAAAAGTGAGTTATTTAGATTCTCCATTGTCACTGAGAAAACAATGATTAGAATAAAGCTGATCACTATAAAATTTTGCATTTTGGTATTCAAATGTTTCTGAAGTTTGTAAAACATGCAAAATGCTTATGTTATAAATTGAAGTAGAAAATATTGGTATCTAGTTTATATGTACATTATTTTATCCGAAAACTTACATTTTTATGAGTTTTAAAAAATCTGTTCCTCTGAATTTCCCAAGCATACTATAATCATGTATAATGTTTATGATGGAATATGAAACATTAACATCTTATTTTCCTACTTCAAATAATCATATTTCCAATTAGGTGTAAGTGTAGGTTCTCAATCAGATAAAATAATGCCACTAAAATAAAAGGTTGACAAAAATTAACAGCAAATGGGCCACAGGCCTACTAAAACTATAAAACTTCTAGAAGAAAACATAGGACAAAATCTTTGCAACTGTGTCTTATTGCCTTTGCAACAGGCATGTCTTAGGACACAAAAAGCACAAACCATAAAAGGAAACGTTGGTAAGTTGTACTTTAACAAAATATAAAACTTTTGCTCCTCCCTGATACCCTGTTAAGAAAGGATTAAGCGATAGAGAAAAAATATTGGTAATACAAACCTTTTCACAAAATACTGGTATTTATCCATCTCTCACCTGTACTACTTCAACAATCTCCTCCCTAGTCTGGCCCTGCACTCTATTCTCTATACAACACACAAATTGTCATATTGTTTGCCTGCTTAAAATCCTCCCATGGCTTCCTGCAATATACGGAATTAGATCTACGCTCTTGTCTTGGCAGAAGGCTTGCCTGCCCACCCCGGCAGCTGCATTTTCCATCTCCTGCCACCCACTCACACACTGCTCTGGCTAGAGCGGCCACCTTCCTGTTTTGCTCACATTAAAAGCTAATTCCTGAATGCGCCCGCCGTGTCCATGGAGAGAGGCTGAGGCTGCTGAGCTCCGGCCGAGGCACCGGGGCGCCCGGTGGCAAAGATGTCGGCTTCCTTAGTCCAGGCCACCGTCCGGGCTGTGAGCAAGAGGAAGCTGCAGCCCACCCGAGCCGCCCTCACCCTAACACCTTCAGCAGTAAACAAGATAAAGCAGCTCAACACCTTCAGCAGTAAACAAGAAAAAGCAGCTCCTTAAAGATAAGCCTGAACACGTAGGTGGGAAAGTTGGTGTCCGAACCAGAGGCTGTAATGGCCTTTCTTACACTCTAGAATATACGAAAATAAAAGGAGATTCTGATGAAGAAGTTGTTCAAGATAGAGTCAGAGTGTTCATTGAAAAGAAAGCACAGCTAACACTTTTAGGAACAGAAATGGACTATGTTGAAGACAAATTATCCAGTGAGTTTGTGTTCAACAACCCAAAGATCAAAGGAACTTGTGGCTGTGGGGAAAGCTTTAATGTTTGAAACCTCAGGACTCCTCTGGCTATGAGCTCCAGGAACACTCATGGACGCCTTGGGGCTTACTGAAGAAATCATGTGACTACCACCTGTTTAATGTGTGGCTGCCTTGTAAGAAAATAAAGTGATGCATTTTGAAAAAAAAAAAAGCTAATTCCTGACTTAAGGCCTTTGTACTTGCTGCTCACTCTGCCATAGATATTCTTCCCCTGCATGGCTGACTAGCATTCTCCTTGTCACAGCTCAAGTGTCATCTTCTCAGAGACATTCCCCAACATGCCCCTCCAGTCACCTTATCACCATACTGTTTTCTTCACTTACCCTACCTGAATTTGTTTAGTTTTTCTCCCCCACAAGAAGGTTAAGACCTGTAACAGCAAAAGGATCTCCGTTTTGTCTACGGGTATGTGCTTAGCATACAGTGCTTGGAACATAGTAGATGCTCCAGAAGTATTTTTGTATGACCCATACCCACTATGGGCCAGGCACTGTGCTGGGTACTTAGTGGCCAATGGTTTAAACGTGTTGCTCAAAGCCTTTTTTCATCCTATTACCTTCCTTTAGAAAAAAATATTTTATATTCCTAGATTCATTTAAATAGCTAAATACTTCTTTGTATTTTTCAAGAGGCAAATTTACTTTCAAGTAAATTGTAAAATCTGGATTTCATCTGTATGTAGAATCAGTGCTTTGGCCTAAATAAAAATGTTCATATTTTGAACTCAGCCCCACTAGAATGACTCAAACAAAAGAAACAAAAAATGGAATGTGTTAGTGAGGCTATAAGGTAATAGAACTCTCACACAGTGCTGGTACCTGTAAGTTAGTTTAACTGCTTTAGAATACTATTTGGCAGTATCCAATAAAGTAAAACATATGTATACCCTATGACCTAGTAATTCCATACTTACATATATACCCAAAGGAAATGCATTCCTTTGTTCACCAAAAGATATGGACAAAAAAATTCACGGCAGCACTATTCATAACAGCCAAAAAGTGTTAACTATTCAAATGTCCATCAACAAAATAAATTGTTATATATACACACAAAGGAATACTATAATGAGTATAAACTATACACATTGATGTATCTTAAAAATAAAATGTTTAAAAAAAGCCAGACACCAAAGAGTGCATCTATGTTATATTTCAACTAAAAGTTTACAGAAAGAGAGAAGGAGAAAGAGAGAGAGGGAGATTGGAGTGTTCCCCTAAATACTTTCCTACTGACGGTCCCTCCAAAGTTAGATCCTTGAAGTATGAGGTGGTGGTATTTGAAAACGTAACTTAAACTGGCCTACCACAATCGCAGTTTTTGAAGTCTCATGTTTTATATCTTAAAAGTCCATGTGAATGCCCTATACTTCACCCATGTAAACTGAAGTATTTCCCTCGGAAATATCTGAGAAAACTTAATAAAGGAAAATGAGCCATGATTATCTTGTAGTTGCAGGTACTGCCTCAGACTTCAGTTAAAAAAGAACTGGTAGAAAATAGATTAGTCATGGTTAGATAGCCTGGTTCACACCTCAGATTCAAATTCATTAGCAGTGTGGCTTTGGGCAAGTTCCCTAAATATTTGCTCCTATGCTCTCATTCACATAACAAAGACAATACTTATCTCACAAGGTAGCGTTGAGAGTTAAATAAGATGACATAAGTTAGGTATTCAATATCATTAGCCTCTGCCTTCCCTACCCTATAAGGCAGTACTGAGGTGGAAAAAAAGTCAACAAGTTGTTTGCGGCAATATATATATTTTAATTCAAAGTGAATTGACAGTAATACACCATAAATTCTTATTTTGACACTCACCAAAATAGTCACCTGGAAAACCCGCTTTTTGTGACAAAGTACAGAAGGCTTGGTCACATTTAAATCACTGAGAACTAGAGAGAAATACTATCGCAAACCGTAATAGACATTACATCCATAAAAGTTTTCCCAGTCCTTATTGTAATATTGCACAGTGCAATTGCTACATGGCAAACTAGTGTAGCATAGAAGTAAAAGCAAAAACAAACAAACCAAAGAAAGAAAGCCACAAGTCTAAAGTTAACAGTTCAAACTTAGTAATCAAATCTATTGTCATTGGGTTCATTAAAACAAATCTTCCTACACCTTGCAGTGTATGATTTAACTTTTAGTTAACACAAACCAAGTTTAAAATTAGCAGTAGAGATTTAAAAAATGAAAACATTTTGCTAATACAGTAACATATTTAATTAAACACCCTGAAAGAAAAAAACCAACTAAATATCAGAATATTTGATAAAAAATAATTTGTAAATTAAAATAGTATGCAAATATGCAACTTGGAAATCATGCAGTGTTTTATTTAAGAAAGCATTAAAATCAAAGAAAACTGATAAAAATAGTTTTAAAAGGACATAAATCCAGATTCTTTCATCAGTATGCTAAATGTAGAATTTAGCAAAATTTTGAAATGTTTTACTTTTAAATGCATTAAAAAGCCCATGGTTGCAATTAATTAAGAGCAGTGTACTTAACTGGAATAAGCCTTTATCAAATATTACTATTATATTATGCAAATGTTGAAGTTTACCATTTACTGTCAATTTAACAAGACTACTTTCAGTCTTGGAACTTAAAGACAGAAAATATGACACTTCAGGGCAGTAAACACAGCCCTGAACAAAAAAGAAAACTGCGCCAGTTTTGTACCTGTTGTGATACAATCAATCCTTTGCACTTGGTATTTCTGAAACATCCGTTGCCAGCATTGATTCTTTTCCAAGAAGTGAGCAGATACCAGTAATCTGCCGGACTGTATAAATAAAATTAGAAGGCTGTGGAGGGCAGCAAATTTACTTAAATAGTGACTCCATAAATTTGTCATCTGTAAATAATCTTTTAAATTAATCTTAGGCTACTCCTTTTTTATGCGTTATTATATATATATATTTCTATTTATATAAAATGCATAGAATTGAGTACTAAAAACACTGAAACTCGTGGGGAAAATTAAGTCCTTCATTTTCAGTGTGACTAAAAATGTACTGCTGGTTTTTATTTTATGATCTAATACTGTAATTTTTAAAATCAATTTCAGGCACATTTATTTCATTGATGATTATTAAATAAAACACTGCTTGTGTTAATGGAGTAAAGAAAAGCTTATCCATTATTAGCTTATTGTCAACGCTGTACTAGAGCTGTACTAGTGGTATACAATTCATTCATCAAAGAAATGCTGTAAATCCAAAACATCTGGAGAGTTTTACACTCAAATGCTTTGTACTGTTTATTCCAGTAAATGCTGTAAGATTATATTCCAGATTCTTAAGGAAAAAAAGTTAAGTCAAGCCTGCAAGATACAGCTTTCTCAAGTGTCTACAATGCCAGTATGAAAATAAAAAATTAAGTTACATTGATACATCCAAGATCTTTCATATGCAGTGATGAGCACAAACATTAATAGAGATAAAATACTGATGCAAATAACACACCCCAAAATAACATATGCAATTATTTTCCATCATTTACAATACAGTAGTTACAATGACACTCCAAACAAAAAAGCAAAGTAAAAAATCAAAACCCCAACTTCTATTTCATATAATTAGACTTATACAGAAATTAGAAGGCTAAATAACAACTAGTTAATCACCTAATTTCACAGCTATCTGAAGTGGCAATCGTTATATAGCAGCTTATCTATGATACATTCAAGATAAATGATACAATTTATTACTTGCCTGTAAGCTAAACACAGCCTCAGTTTAATACCTTTCCTTAAATTCCACCTCTACACTACAATATACTTGAGGTCTATGCAAAAAGTATAGGAAATGGATGATTAAGTCTTTGGTGCTGTAAAAGCAACTTCATTTAAACGTAACTACTGCCATCACCACCCCACCCCGCCCCACCCCCCCAAAAAGGAAGGGAAAAACCCAAGACACACTTCCTAGGAAAAACAAGCATGTAATTTCTGTCCCTGACGGAATGTATTAAATAAGCAAACATCACCAACAAGCAAAACAAGTACTGCAATGTAAAAATACTTAAAAAAAAACAAACCCTCACATGCATAAATGAAAAATTGCACACAAAGAACTCACATCTTTTCAAGCTTCAATAGTAAATATTCTGCTACTATTTATTAAATACTGCATGGTTTGCCCAAGCTAAGATAAAACCACATCATGAATCAGTGAGCATTTTGCATTTTCTTTCATTATCTACCCAAAGTCATGCCTACTGCACCTCTAAACATTTTAAGTCCAATTATACAGCAAACACTCTCAAAATAAACTTAAGATTGTATTGCAGTTTCACTTAACAGTATATAAAATGCTGTGCTGTGACAGTTATCAACTATCCATTAGATACTGAATCAATTTTTCTTAAGCACTACTAACTGCTTGCTTTTCTTGAAGCTAGATCATTCTGAAAAATCAGACAGCAGAATTCAGCTATAGCAAACATGCTGCCCTCTTAATAAGGAAAAAACAGCTACTACCCAAAATCATACCACGCAAAACCAAAAATGAACATTACTCTATCAAAAGAAAACTAAAGAGTAAGTCTGAATTTTAAGTGCTGCAGTCCTCAACATTTATATATAGGTAATAACATTAACAACCTCAAATATTTAAGGCACTATGTGTGGAAACGGTTTACAATGCAGCTGAGATTATTAGAACAACATTTAAGAGCAAAGTCTAGGCAACAATTTGCCCATGCAAAAGACACATGCAAATGTAAAGAACAATAGCTCAATTTTTAGGTAAGTGACCCAACATTTATACACTAAGACACAGATAATACAATTCACTGTATGCTGTAATTTTGACATATGTGCATCTGTTGCTCTAAGTCTGTACACAGAATGGCTTCCCAAATGTGGACGTGTCTTGCACTAGTTAGAAGGCAATTTATAAAAAATAGCAGGAGCAAAACTGGACTTCTGCTCCCATAAGTCACCTGTCTAGAGTTACTACATAAGAAGATAACATGACCAAAGACAAGTTATACCAAATGTGCAAAACACATCAAAAGTGAGTTTTTTTTTTAAAGCTCAAAGTTGTTTAAATTGCACCCAAGTCTACATGATTCAAAAATAATTTTCTTGTGCCATGGCTAATATTTATTAAATACCATGTTTTATTTTTAATCAAATGTTTGTATCATTGAGCTTCCTCAATATACTGTTTTTGAGTTTTCACATATATGGATACTGGCTGAGTTTTGTTGGACTCAATGGAAATCCAGTATATGCAGGTGATGCTGCAATGTAAGAATGTGGTGGGAAGATTGGTTTGTACTGAGTCTGATGAATGGTTGGGGATGGTAACAGACGGGGATTTATGCCCACTGGGACTTGGTGAACTATGCCACTGGGATGGGAGATATTATAGGTTGGATGCTGTAACACAGGTCTTGAGGTACATGGAGAGGCTAAGAGGTGGGCCACTGGTGCAGCACTACTCAGGGCAGCTGATGATGGGTATGGAAGTAGAGTAGGCTGTCCTCCGAGGTGTGTATTTCCAGCCAGATGGGCATGCACTGCGGTGTGATTGGGACTTCCATGAGAAAGAGTGAATGGATTACTGGTAACACTAGTAGGGATATAAGCTTGCTGTCTTCGATGTCCGAAGTTTCCATTCCACTCCTGATGCCCAGATCCAAAGTGTTGAACCTATCCACAAAGAAAAAAAATGACTGAATGACATATTTTATAAGATAAAAGGAAAGGAAGAAAGAGAAATTACAATATATTCTCTGTGACTGATAATTCACAGTGGATCTCTCAGAACTAGCTTGTACTAAGAATAAGTAGAAGAGAGGAAAAATACTGATTTTATATATACCAGTATTAACATTATAATATTTATTCCCACATAATTATTATAATGTAGGCACTGCCATCATCGCTGCTAACACTGCCTGTTACTACCCCATCGCTCCTTGCAGCTGCCATGTGTGGAGCACGCATTATATGTAAAGCTAACACCTCATATACATAATGTTATATACTTCCAAAACAACCCCCTGACATGACTATTATTCCCATTAATGAAGATCCAGATCAGATTTGTTGAAGAGACCCAGCCAAGGTATATATACAGTATATGGCAAAATCATAACTGGAATCCAGATCTGACTCCAATACCTGTGGATCTGGTCTTTCCCCAAGTGAAACACAACTGCCAAGTACAGTGTTGAATAGATGGAAAGTATTCAATAAGGTTAGGTGATCACTACCACTAACACATCAGAAAGGTAGCCATTAATCCATTAGTGTATGCTCTGATTTAAAGGGTCTGAGACAACAGACACACTAAAATATTATCTAAGAGAATCTAAGAACTTAATCTTTCTGAAGAAGAATACAAGTTCTATGGATCATTTGCTTAATTATCCTATCATTAGGCCAGTTACTCTTTAGTCAGTTGGGATAATGAGGAGGGAAAATTTTATTAAGACTATACACAGTTTCAGAATCTTTTTTCCCCTAAGTGAAAAACAACTGCTAACTTTGAATCCCAAAGACTCTTACGAATTCACAAATAAACATACCTGGCTGAAGTTCAAATGCTGCTGCTGGAATGCTGATGTCGATTTCTGCTGACGATTACACACTGCAGAAGGCTGGTTTAATCTTCCAGAGGCAGATCTTCCTTTTATTAATGGCTGGCATATAGAATCTGGCAATGAACAAAATATTAGAGAGTTGATGCTTTCTCCTTCTCTAATAAAAATTAGAAAAGTCTTTAGATATTTTATAAAATAGTGATTTGAGAACCTTAAATAAGAAAAGAGAGCCCATAGTTTCCAAGCACTGGATGATATTAGAAGGGATTTCTTCTGTATAATAGATAGGCAGGGTCAAGTTGGAAATTCAGAGATGACTTTTGGTGATCCTGTTCTCTAATGTTCCTAAATTACAACCTTTGAAAGGACACTCAGGGAAACAGGAGGACTCACTTTACCTGTGTTTGTCATATGCTCGTCAGCATTTAAGCCATTTTCTAGTCCCACTGGTGGCACCACAACAGTACAAACAGCTGGCTTGGTTTCTGTGTCAGCAGAAGTTACCAGTTCTGTGTTTTGATGGGCGTCCTCCACAAAAGTGCTCTCTGCAAATGGACTGTCGTGCCCAGAAGAGTCTGACGTTGGAGAGCCATCCACAGTATCACAACCACTTTCTTGCTCTTCATCTGACATGCTACAAGAAAGCATTTATGAATATTAAGTAATACCCAGGGCTCCAGCAAACTGATGACAATCTTACTCAGTTATTTTATATACAATTATACCTTTCTCCTTGCCCAAGAGCATTTTTTTCATAACATTTCTAGACCTTCAAATTAATTCTCTATTCAGACTGCTAAGCCTAACTCTGTCCCATTTCAGGAATGTCCTTTTGGCATTTAATTTTTTTTCTCCTTTTCTTCCACTTGATCTTTACCAGCAGTTGATAAAATTCCTCTTTATAAATCTAAGATAATTTCATCAAGATATGACAAAAGAAACACTGTTCTGGATAATTTAAATGAAATGTACAAACAGGGCCAGTGTGGTGGCTCACGCCTATAATCCCAACACTTTGGGAGGCTGAGGCAGGAGGATTACTTGAGCCCAGGAGTTCGAGGCTGTAGTAAGCTGCAATTGCGCCACTGCAACCAGCTTGGGCAACAGAGTGAGACTCTGTCTTTAAAAAAAAAAAAAAAGAGGAAAAGTAAAGAAGAACAGAACAAACGCATAAGCATAGGACCTGGGTATTTCAGATTAAATTCTAATGTTATGATATGTGCCTTTCATGTAATTTGGGTCCTTTTAACTAACCAGTTATATGAAAGGTCTTTCTCTACTTCTCTGAAGGCCTAGCCAGAGTCCTGTATTTCTCTTCTCTTCCTGACACTCTTAGGACCTGTCAATTTCCCTCTCCTTGGGATTTCTACAGCATTTATTGTCTCTTTTAATCACTCACTTCATACTTAACAATTTGAAGCATCTCTTTTTATATGTATTTTTTATTTATGTTTATATATCTTAGTTATTTTTATCTCTCTATATATTTTATATGAGTATATATTTATGTTTATGTATGTATACATCAACTTCTAAAATACAATATAAGCAACTTATAAGAAGAGGATATATTAAAATTTCTTTATATCTTCCACAGGGCTTTCGCTATAAGTATTTAGTACCATATTACCTAAAGAAAGAGAAGAAAAACGTATAAAATTAAGACAAAATTTTTTCAAATTTTGTTGCCACTAAAAAAGAATTTCTACAAGCTGAAATCGAAGGTATTTCACAGAAATTTTTGTAGTTTCTCTCTCTTTTTTTTTTTTTTTGTTAGAGATGGGAGGTCTTGCTCTGTCACCCAGGCTGGAATGCAGTGGAATAATTGTAGCTCACTGTAGCCTCAAACTCCTGGGCTCAAGTGATCCTCCCACTTCAACCTCCTGAGTAGTGGGAACTACAGGTGCATGCCGCCATGCCTGGCTAATTTTTAAAATTTTTTTGTAGAGACAGGTCTCCAATTTTGTCCAGGCTGGTCTCTGAACTCTTGGTCTCAAGGGATCCTCCCACCTCAGCCTCCCAAAGTGCTGGGATTATAGGCACCAGCCACTGTACCTGGCCAATGGCTGATCTCTTAATGTGTTAATTAATACATTATGCTAGTAAGCAAAAGCTTACTATTTTGGTGGCAGTACATGTCCCTAGCCAAAAGGAAGGCTAGGCAAAGAAATATAGATGAAACCATGCAAATCAGTCACCAAAGGGAGAAAAAAATCATAGTGGATACACTATAGACAGTGGGCCAGTCATTACTTCATTATGCAAAACATTCCTTTTTTATTTTGCTAAAGTGTATGTTTTTATTCCAAATTGAAGTTACAATAGTAGTCTGTGGAGCTGAAATTGAGAACGTGGCTTTCATTCAAAAGCCTGTTAAAAATAGATGATTCTTTAAAATCACTTATTAGAATCTCCATTTTTCATTTCAAGCTTTTCTATAACAATAAAGAAAATGACTACTAAAAACCTGAGATTATAAAAAGGGATACAGTTTAAAAATTACGTTCAAGAGAGAAGTCACTATGTTAAATTGCAGGTACTTATTAATTTAAACAACACAAAAAGAAATCATGGGCTTTTTAGTAGACTTAATATGTATTATATATTACTATTGAAATTCTTTTACCTATTCGGTCTCTTGCAAGGGGATGGGCTGGACTGCCCTGAGGAACTGGTGCTCAGAGTACTATCAGGACTACTTAATGAACACATCCGATCAATGTTCAACGTGCTCTGGCAAGCTTCACAATCTAGACTACCTTTACATCTGGTGGAAGAGAAAAGGGAAAAACATGGGTCAAAAATGAGAAGATACTCTCCAAGTAGCCAAAATTTGCATTCTTTAATTAAGGATATGAAACAGTTGAGAATGACCTACATGGACAAAAAGTAAAGCTTATCAACACAGGGAATAATGCTATAATAATCATGTTAAATACTATTTAGAAAGTTCCCTCTGTCTAGAACCTGATTCTCTAACTGGGTTTTACTCCAAAGGACATGGACAGAAAAAGAGTAAGTCACAGAAAGTTATTTTTAGCACACTAGAGGGCGCCATCATTATCCTTTACAGATGCAGCATTTGGCACTTACTCTCTCAGTGAATGTCTCTGTGAAGTGTCCTCCTCATCAGTGTCACTGCTAATAGTGATCACACTCACTGCAGGACTTGGGGAGTCAGCAATGATAATCGTTTGCCGCTGTTTGTCTGAAACCGATGAATCAGAGTCCTGTCTGATAGATGTTTCACAGCAATTTCTTGCCTCTCCTCCTGAGTTACGATTGTCCTGTGTTTCTATACAACTTACTTCCCCGACATCTTTCCCATTTATTATCTTTGGAGAAATAAGTGCTGAATGTGGGATATTGGTATTCTGCAATGAATTGCTCCTGCAACCAAAGGAATAATTTATAATTTCTATAATCAAAATATGTACATGACATTTTTCTAAGATATATCATTACAAATGCAAATCTTCACTTGTTCATGTATATAACACTAACATATAGAGTATGAGTTTTTGTGAAATATAAAATAGCTCTAGAAATAGTGTAGATTGTATTTACATACATTTAAATGGTCATTTTTGGTAAATGTGATATCTGAAGGTCTATAATTGCTACATTATAGGTAGATAATAAATCAAAAGGGCAATAAAGACAATCTTACCAACTGAAAGCATTTATTTCCTCTCTTCCTGGCTCCCATTCCATTAGTTTTACCAAAATACCTCTGAGAAATTGAGAAGGGAGCTGGCTTAGTGTTTGTAACAAAGCTATCAAAGAGGTCATTTTGAATACAACAGAGTGACCCTTTAGTGTTCATGCAAAATTCATTTTAAAGATTAATTCTCAAAATGCAGAGGAAGGTTAAAGTATCAATACCAACCTGTTCTGGCACAGTTTATTTTTCTTAGTAGTGGCAGGCTGGGGCCAGACAACATGTGCAATGCCCACACTAATTGGCTGAGGGGCCGATAAAGTTATCTGATTGGTTAGAAGAGGTTGAGGCATCACTGAATTATAATGATTGCTGCGCGAAATCATTTTCCTAGGGGGAAAGTTCAGAAAAATTGAATCCCTTCCTTATCAAGATCTATTTTGTAAACCATTCACAAAGAAGTACTTTTATTTTTAACTTACCCCCAGTCTCCAAGCCTCTGTGAACCAGCCACACCTTCAGAAGTTAGTGTAGTAGTAGCAGGAGCCATGGGTGTTACCTGTTGCCAGGCAGGTACCAGCATCTGCTGTGTTCTACCAGACCATGTCTATTGCATCGAAGCAAAGCAAAACAAAACAAAAACTAAGTTACAAGAAACTCAACTTTACTATATCTTAAATTCAAAAATATATTAAAGTAATAACTAACAATCACAAAAATTAAAGTCAATAACCTACGAAAAGGACTGAATCCCTATCTGGGTCATTTTCATTATTTCCCATCAGCACAGGCTGATATAGGGACAGCACATATGCAAAAGAGAATTATTACCAACCTGAGAAAGAACTCCAGGTCGGATCTGTAGTGGCTGCACAGGTGGAGCCTGAGTTACCAGTGGAACTGTATTATCCACCCTTATTGAATAGCTAGTGGGTTTACCATGTGTTGCAGGAATACCTGTGAAACAGAACAGCTATCAAATAATAGAAAAAACATCTTCCTCTGATTTAACTTATACACTCATTTGAAATGTAAAGAATTGCTTAAATTCTGATTGGGCTTATAAAACCAATAACTACATAAAATTTTCATAAGACTAGCACAAAGCAGTCTATGAGGAAAGTGAGGTGCTTCCTATCAACTCTATGGTAAACATTATTTTAAAAATTGTTATAAAGATACTCTTTGTTTTAAAATACATACTATAAAATTGAACCATTTATTTTTCTTGAAACTTACAAATTGCCTTTTAAAGTTTGCTATTAAAGCTTTCTTTTCCTTTTCAAATAGCTTTGCAACTATGATAAAGAACACGGAAAGGTGAATCTGGCTCAATATTGAGATAACCTAGCATGTTCTTCTTTTCATAGAAATTTTTAGCTATGCTTACTATTTTCTTCTTTAAAACTGTGCTAGGATCTTATGCTCTCATTGTCAAAAGGGAAATGCATCACAACTTTGTAATTCAATGGACATGATGATTTACACATGGATGAAAATTCAGGGATGGAACATTCATTCCAACCTCAAAAGGAAAACCAAAAACAATCTATTTGGCCTAATTTGACGATATAAACTAAGTTTTGCTTAATGTGGCTTAATTGACTAGTTTTCCTAGTAGAAAGCTACTAGAACTCCAGAAGAAACATGTTACCATTTTGCTTACCCACTAGGCAAATTAGAATGCAGGATTACCAGCCATATTAATCCTGTTATGGTAATAACTTTGTTTCATACAATGCGAAGCACCTTGTAAATATTAAGTCTTATGATATTGAACTTAGAGACAGCAAAGTAGCACCACACCCCAAGTTAGAGCTTTGACTACCAATATTTTAGGGACATCCCTCAAGATCAGAAAGCACATTAACTAAAATAAATTCACTACTTCATAATTCCAGTCTATTGTAGCAGTTACTTTCAAGATGGGCTGGCAGATTATTTAAATATAATTAGTTTTGGGATAAAAGTGATACTGGTGTTTCTCTGCAGTGATAAGAGAAAAATACTACAATTGTTTTCTTTTCCTATTGAAAAATCTTAAAATTTTTATTGTATAAGTGTTAATCCTAAAGAGAATGTTAATTTTGTTCTGTTTATTTTCTTCATAGAGACTTTTATCTTACTGCCAGGGTGTCCTACTCTGTGCTCTGCCTAAAGAGGTAGATATTAAATTAAGTGTAACAAAAATCTATAGTTTTTTTTTTTAACTGATCTTCTTACCCCTTCCAAAAAGCATGTCTTGATCAGCAAATTCTCCAAGAAATGGAATATAAGCACACCCAGGCAGTGTAGATATATGGCAGCAATAGACAATCTCTTTAAGAAAAAAAGCAGAATTCACTTTGACAAGGATGAAAAGACAGAGCGAATTCTCAAATCCGAACAAAAATTTCATTGCCCTTAAATTCTCTCCATAAGCAATGTCTTAAAATGAGAAGAATTCTCCTATATATATTCCCTCCTCATAAGAGCTAATTTTTGATCGAATCCAACGGTGGGTTAAGATCCCAATTTATTATAGTTATTAGGTTAGCTGTAACTATCTCTGATCATATTTGCTTTAATATTTGGACAACCAGGCACAAAAACTTATAAAGACTGTTTCAAGATAACAGAGGAGAATTTTGTTGGCATGTATTTGACTCTAAAATAGTAGCTGTCATGCAGAAGGGATGAATAACTAACTTCTCAGGTTGCTAAATAATTTTAAAGGTTTGTTTAACATATAAAACTAAACATTCAAATTTGTTAAATAAAAGCTTATCTAAGTCTTCTGTACTAAATAACAATTTCTTTTAAAATAAGCACAGTCTTATGGATATATTATCTATATACCTATACCTGTATGTTATATCTATAATATTCTAAAATATATGAAATGTATGACCTAAACACTATACCCATAAAGTGAAATAAAATTTTTAAGTGAAGCGGATAGACATAAAATTCATTTTAAAATATAAACCATAATGGTACCATAATTACTAGCCAATAGCGGCCCAATAATTATTTTTGAATATTTCTTGTAAATGGATTGGTACATTACAAGGGAGAAGGGTAAGAAACCCAATACTGAGATTTTCTACAGAGATGCTAAGACAGATTAGAGGGAAAGCTTTCATTTCTAAGGCAGACACTATGCCAGGATGAAAAACAATGAAACAACGTACGTACAGAGCCTGCCTCTCCTGCTTCTACTGCACCTGTTGCAGAAGCTAACACATATTTTGCTTCCTCTTATTATCAATTCTAATTTAAGAGCATTGTTCTTGACATTTGACAGCTTAATGAGTCTGAGAGTTTAATCCTTTTTATTCAGTTATCCTTATTATAAACTACTCATATAGTTGCTACCATACATACAGAAAGATCACTAGCTTTTCATCAATTATAAGCCATACAAAAAGACAAAAGATTTGTCTAAGCTCATTGAAATGTTGTAAGAATGATGCTCAACTCTGTTTAGAAATGTGTCTCATTAAGTCCTTTAAGTTTCTGCCATAAACAGAAGGTGGGCTCTGGAACAAAACTGCTATTTCAGATCTTCAGGAAATATACTACAGTGTAGGTAGTGACCCTCAAATTGATTTTGGTACATGGCAGAAATTACTAGAACCAAAGAACTCATTTGTTAGTATGGAATATAAACTTAGCTAAGTGAAAAGGAAGTGAAAGTGCACGTGTCAAGTGGTATTTGTCAAGCTATCACTTAAGCGATAACTGATATAAAATCTACCACTTATTTTCAAAGGGTATACGTACATGTACTACGTACAGATAATGTAAATATACTAAAATATTAACACACTGAATCTAGGGCAGAAGACATTATTCCTTCAACTTTTCTATATGTTTGAAATTCTCACAGTAAACTGTTGGGGAAAAACCAAAAAAACAAACACAAAAGCATCTTTTAAGAGTGCTAACAATATGGTGATGTGAGCATTTTTGTTATGAGAGACCAGCCATGGGTCACTGTTACAAATACAGATCACCACTAGATCACAATATCATCTTTAGAATCAACCATTTGTCTTTTTTTTAGACTTTCAGTGATACAAACACTTTTCCAAATGAGACCTTATATGAAAACCTAAAATATAAAAACAATGAAAGTAAAGCTACCCTAGTAGAACAACAGTAGCTAAAGATTTGACCTGTTTTCACATCTCTTATTACGAGCCAATCAAGTCAACAAACATATTCTTGGTGCTTTACTATGGGAAACACTAAGATAAAATTTTTTTAAAGTTGCTCAAATCTATAAATAAAGAAATCAGGCTGGGCACGGTGGCTCACACCTACAATCCCAGCACTTTGGAAGGCCAAAGTAGGAGAATCACTTGAGATCAGGAGTTCAAGACCAGCCTGAACAAACATAGTAAGACCTCATTTCTTTAAAAAAAAAAAAAAAAAAATTAGCCAAGTCTGGCACAGGCACCTGTAGTCCTAGCTACTCAGGAGGCTGAGGGAAGAGGATCACTTGGATCTAAAATTTGAGGTTACAGTGAGCTATGATTGTACCACTACACTCCAGCCTGAGCAACAGAGTGAGACCCTGTCTCTAAAAATAAATAAATAAATAACCTCAGAATCCAGAAACATTAGAGCTAGAAATGACAAAGATATTATCTATTGAGTCTGTTTCCTTTTACTAAGGCTGAAACAGGCAAACAGACTTGTCTAGACAGACACAGTAAACAGCAGAAATAGAACTAGATTCCAGGTGTCCTGACTTTAGCACCAACTGCTTTCATTTATACTATAGAGTATCATCACTAAATTGCACATGATGGTTTAGCGCCCCATTTGTAATCCATCTCTTGCTTTAAGACATAACTAGATGTCTGAACTATCATCTAGGCCATTTTTAAAATTTAATTTAATTTAAAAAAGAAATAAAATAATGATATGTTATTTTTTGTCCTAGCAAGGACAAAATCCTAGGAAAGAAGTGGGGTTTTATTCTGGTTATTCCAGTTGCAAGGTTTGCAACTATTAGCCCATTTTGCTGCTATCACTCTCTAAGAACCACAGAGGATTTCCCAGTTTGAGAATGTGTGGCCTCTTGAAAGGAATTCTGCCACCCATCCCACTTGAGGATTTAATTGGTTATATTTATATAAAGAATGGACATGATCTAATGTAATCAAAATCAGGCCATGATATATTTTTTACCTAAACTATAGGTAAAGAACAAGACTACGACATTTTGGGACAGAACTCTTTTGACCAAAATTTTTTTAAGAACTCAGCTCTCAGTCACTTTAATGTTCAGTAATGATGGGCAAATCATATATACTTACCTGAACATCTAAAGCAGTGATACCCAGTATAGGGCAACCTACAGCTTTCCAAGCTCATTACTTTCTATTAAGGTATTTTATTAAGCTAGATTCTACAGGAAATGCGACTGTTATATAATCCCATTTTGTTAATGATGATTACAATGGAACTCTAGTCAAGAAATGAGTGTCATTGGTCTAAGGCTACTGGACAGCTTAAGTTAAATTCAAATGTAGCACTAAATACAGCAAAAACTATTCAATATATTTAATGACCAGATGCCTAAACTTGTTTTAAAATAATGCATGCCTAAATCCAAAGCATAATTTAAATGAAATACCTTGAATAGCTGGGGGACAGATAATCAGTGTCTGCTGAAAAGCATCACCACAACCAAACTGAGCAGTTCCTGCCTGCAGAGGTATTCCATGATGCACGACTGAATGAGCAGATGTGGTTAATACCTGAAACAATCGATGTATAGCACGTTATACACAGCAGTCTGCTATGCTACACATATATTATATAAAAAAAATTCAAACGTGTTTCTTAAAATCATAATTCTATAAAACCAATAGACCCAGAAAATGAGAATAAAAACAAGTGACCCAGCTAAAATTTAAAAACTGATTCTACTGAACTCTACTTTTGGTACAGTTGTGGCATACGAGAGCAGGTGGAAGATATAGAGAGAATGAAAGAGGAAAGCGAAAAGATGAATTTGAGTAAATATGTTTCAATTGTTACCCTGAAATTTTAATAGATTCAACAGAATAGCCGTAGTAAGACCTCAACAGTACTATAGCTTCTAACTGCCAACATGAAACTTCTGTGTAGTTCAAAAGCAAAATAAGTAATCATTTAAAAAAGAGTATAGGTGCGGTGGCTCAAGCCTGCAATCCCAGCACTTTGAGAGGCCACGGCAGGAGGATCACTTATGGTCAGGAGTTCAACACCAGCCTGGGCAACACAGCGATGCCTCGTCTCTATAAAAATTTTTTTAAAAATTAGTCGAGTGTGGCAGTGTGCACCTATAGTCTCAGCTACTTGAAAGGCTGTGGCAGGAGGATCACCCGAGCCCAGGAGTTTGAGGTTGTAGTGGACTATGATAATACCACTACACTCTAGCCTGGGCAACAGAGCAACACCTGTTTCAAAAAAAAAAAAAAAAAAAGTATAAATTATTAATTATTTGAAGTTCTTACCTGGCTTCTTAATGTTCCAATTTTAGTAAAATTTGCTGTCAGAGTAGCAGTATTGTTTGAAGCAACTGGTCTTAAAAGTGAAGATTTATTGTGATTATTTGTGTCACATGAATTTAGGTGGGACTTACAAATATCCATAATATGAAAACAGGACTTTACACTGCAAAAGAAAAAGTGAAGGTTTTATAATATCATTTTAAACGCTTACTTTTAAATTAACGTACATTAACAAAATAATTATTCCTAAAAGAAAAAAATTCTACAATTTGCATTTAATCTGCTTATTTACAATAGTATTTCTAACAGGAAATCCTATAAGAAAAGATTGAATTTCAAAGCAAGAATATATTAATATATCTGCAATATTTTTTAAGACAGCAAAGCAATAGTAAGCTTTTTTTGGTTAGCACACAATAACTTTATGGCCTCTGTAGGCTCTAAATAAGTTTTCCTAAATTTCTAGATCTCCACAACACTCAATTAATGGTACCAAGTATGTGGCTATCATGTTATTTTTCAAAGTGTTTGTATAAGAAAAATATTAGGACATTTTTTAAGTGTTTGAATGAAAAATATAATTGTGCTTTTAAGAAATACCAATTTTAAGGACAACTCACAATAGTGAATATCAGTTCATTCCCCTGTCTTCTTTATTTAGTCTTTTTAAATTATTACAGCAGTCTGCTTTAAGTCACTTACAGTAACTCCCTTCATCTCATAAAAAAAGACATCTGAGGCTCAAAGAATTTGAAAGATTTGCCTAAGGTAATTTTGACAAGGCCTTTGGAATTTGAGCATACATTCTTCTCTACTGACCCATTAAAAACCTC